TTAGACTTGTGTAGGCTCAATGAGATTAATATGAATAAAAAGTCTGAGTCAGACAAATCATGAGAGGTCCACGTAAAGAGGGACAGTCACACACCAACATTTTTCATTGTATTAACCGTCAGACCCAACATTTCAATGATATGGATAATATGACTTTCTTTCATTGTACCACCCCTCCCTCAACACCCATTCTTTTATCGGAAATGTAAAAAATGAAAGCAACAATTAATTTCTATTTTGTTGTTCTTCATGTTTTTTTTTTTAGAGTCTGGTCTTTCAGCCCCCCGATGAGATTTGCTTAGTTTATTTCTAGCAAAAACAATTCATGCTGTTTGTCTTTATTAATCAGCTTTCCGTACTCAGCGAAGTCTGAAGAATGACTGCTGGTTAAAGGCCTTCAAATGACATCTGTTAGGGAGGTACACTGTACATAGAGACAGCGTTTAGAGTGCAAGCTCCAATGGAAAAAGTAAAATGGAGTGAGGAAAATAGGTCAAGCTAATAAAACAAAAGGATTAAAAATATCTGTGAAAGGCTGTAAGACTTTAATTTAGGACCGAGATCAATAGTGTCTGACATTTCACAGCAAGAATGTATTGATGAGCAAAGAGATTTGCAGTTGCGGTTAGAATTTAGGTTTCTAGATTAAACTAATAATTGCATTCTCGCTCAAAAAAGGAGCTATAGTACACGTACCTCTCACCTTCCTAAAAACCTCAACATCCCCACTAGAGCCCCTCTCCCCCAATTACAACCCATATCACCAATACCATAGCCCCTTCCCCTAATTTTAGCCATCAATCTACTTCAGTCCCTTTCCTCCACTACATTTCCTAACCCCCTAATTACAGCAGTACCCTCCACTATAGCCCATGTCCCCCCACTACAGCCCCTAACTTTTCAATTACATTCCAGAGATGAGGCTCTGGATCCGCCCCTGCACTGTATCTGTACGACTTTAAGCCTGTGTATGTATGTCTTTGTATGCCTGTGTTTCTATGACAGTGTCTGAATGTCTCTGTGTGTGTCTCTATGTCTCTGTTTGTATGACATTGTACCTGTATGTGTAGGTTGTATGGCTGTGTGCCTGTATTTGTTTGATTGTGTCCCTGCATATCTCTGTATGGTTGTGTGTTGCTATATATCTAAGTCTGTATCGCATGGAAAAAGACACAAAATGTCCTGAGGGGAGAGAGCAACAGAAAGGGGCTGGAGGGAAGAAAGAGACACACAAAAAGAATGGGGGTGCACACAAAGGGGCTGAGGAAAGAAAGATGCACAATGTGGGTTATAACAGACACACAAGAGGGTGTAAGACATAGTAATGGGGTAAGAAAATACACTAAAGAGGGTAAGAAAATCAAAAGGGGGGTTACATGACACACAGGTGAAGACGCATTTTTTTTTAAGGGTGGGGGTGGGGGGGCGGAAAAATGCATCTTTGTTTGTGTAGCCAAAAATCCTTGCACCAGCCCTGTGAGGAGCATTAGCATGAGCAGTGACGGCTGGCAGTGATTTAGTGAGAATGTCAGTAGACCATTTTCAGCCTATCACATCGCCCATTGCTAGTATGAATTTGCATGGCTAGAAGGAAGTGTCTCTTAGCCATGCCCATAGTAGGGGTGGAGCTGTTGGTGGGCATCAAGTCTCTCTACCATCTGACTTCCTTCCTGCACAGCAGTACGAAGACGTTTTAGCCCTGCGACCACTGATAGGCTGAGTACATACTATTTCTCTTAAAGGGTGGGCAGTGATACAATTCTAATATTGCGTTACAGTGTAACCAAGCTATTTATTTAAAATTTCAGACAAATGTATTGGGCAGAAAGTTTAACCCACGCACTCTTTCATAATTGTCATTCTGAGAACTAAAACCCAAATATGATCTGCCTTACACCCACCTTTTACTGTATCTCCGATCCACTCACCACTTAGAATTCATTCTACCTACGCTTAAGGCTCAACTACAAAATGATATATATATTTATTTATTTTTTTATTTATAAATCTTTATTCATGTTCATTATTACAAATTCGTAACACATACTCAGTCATAAATATCCAACACAAACAAAGTTACAAAATTACAGTACATACTAAGACAAGTGTGGGAAAAGTGTCGGACTGGAGCTTTGCCTATTTCATATTATACTATCTCTTCTAGATAACAATATCTCTGGAGTACCTGAATTACTCAAGTTAAAACAATAGACCTGAGCCCATTTAATTCCTAATTTGCAGAGTCAACTGATTTTTCCATTAGGCATAATCTATTTCCAATTTCTTGCAAGTAGAATCTTTAAAAGCCACAAAAGAGTGAGTAGTAAGGAAAAACTCTGTAGGTGACAAGTCTGGCCAGTTGAGATGTAATAATGCCACAACCGGATACTGCTCGATTCTAATCTTGTCACATACCCGTAGTGTTTTAAAAATCTGATTCCATATCTCTTTTATTTTTCCACAACTCCACCATATGTGTAAAAACCTCCCACTCCATTACTACACCTCCAACAAGAGTCTGATTCACTGGCAATGATCTTCTTTAGTCTAGTTGGCACCAAACACCATCTATTACATACTTTGGAATGGGTTTCAAACAGGATTATTTTTTGCACATTTTTTTTCACCCGAGTTAGGGTATTACCCCAAATAACACTGTCTATTACTATATTACACTCAGTTTCCCATTTCTCAAAACATTTTGATATGGAATTATTCGACCTAGATCTAATTAATGCATAACATTTAAACATTATTTTTGAAGGATTTTTGGAACCAAAAATTGTTTTATATATGCAGCACTTTGGCTACTCACGTTTTCAAAATTTTTCAAGAGCATAGATTTTATTCTCAAATACAGAAATATTTTGTTTGCAGATAATTTAAATTCTTGTGCTAATTCAGCAAAATGTTTCATTTTCCCCACCTTTTACGGTATCTCCGATCCACTCACCACTTATAATTCATTCTACCTACTCTATAGACCCAACTACTAAATTATATTTTAAACGTTTCAATGAGACACTTTACTGCCGCACCTCCAAAAACCAGCTATACTTGATTGAGTTATCAAAACTCAATGTCCCAGCAAGACTTGTGATCAAAACTCTTACTGATATATTAAGATCTACCTCGTGACATCAGTTTACTCTTAGTCTTGGACTTCTCTGATGTTTGCCTACAGACTGCTATGCAGACTATTTCATTCTTGGTCACTGAATAGGTTTATCTAATTCCAGACACAGCTTCACAGCGTAACCTTATCCATCATTAACTTACACCGTTCAACCAGTTGCGCATGCACGAGTCTACAACACACATCTCCATTTACGTTGAGATTGCTAGCTCAAAACTTCCTTATTACTGTTATATTGTTGTTTTTATTTGAGAACCAACGCAGCAACCTTTGTAGCAAAATCTAAACAGCTTTTCGGAACAAGCGTTTCCTTACTAAAACTGACAAAGAATTATCACGAGTAAAATTTGAGAAAAAAATTATAATCTTTTACCCGTACATTGCCCCATTCCAAACACGTCAAAGAGAAGTCTTGTTTTTAACGTAGTGCCCAAACACGATGGCACATTCCAGTGCTTCTTGACTGATTGTAATTCTGTATACCCACTGACGACAGCCAGCAGTCAAACGTTGCGGGTTATTTACCAAAGTGTTCTGTTCTATAAAATGTATTACATTACTAAAAGTAGGGCAGTTCCCATGGAAACCAGTTAGATGAGCTGGTGCATTCCAATGGTGAATTCTCCCCGTTTTCATTTCTAGTACCACTTTTTAGAACATTCTCTCTTGCAGAATTCCTCATTGACCGTACAGATGACAATCCATTTGTCTAGTACTAGACAAACGTTGAGGCCTCGACCTACTACTATATCTTTCTTATTTCTCACATATATAGACTGAAATCCTACCCTTAGATTCTGGATCCATTTTTGTTCCTGTTTTTTGTGGCTTCCTTTCTCTTTAATTTTTAATCGGATCAAAAAAGTCTCCCTGGCTGAGGAAGAGTACGTTTGGCAAACTATTCATTTATACCGTGTAACGAGTGCCCTGTACAATATTTCTATTGTTCAAATTCGTTCCATTCCTACGGGAAAAAAATCAATAGTTTTTGAGAAAAAAACTAAGTTCCAGGAAGATACAAAGAACACAAGTATTTTTTTATTTCTTCTTTAGCTAGCACCATGCGTTCCCATATCTCACTTTTGCCCAACCATGTAACTGAAAATCTAAAGGAACACTGTACTCACTATAACAACTTCATCTAAATGAAAGTGTTTCCCCTCATTCCAAGACTCACAAAAGCATTTTTTTCATTAATAACTAGAGGGCTAGGTAGAATGGCTCCAAGCCACTCCTCAAAGTCCCCTAGGTAGGACTGTCGGGACTGTTACTTTCCGGTCCTCAAACCTTAGCATACCATGATGGAGCACACGCATGCACAGTGCTGTTACAGTCTGCCATAGAGAATCATTGTATTCTATAATTCTCTTTGGCAGATTCATAGGCGTATCGCATCAAGCAGTGCGCACGCACCTTTGGTCCTCAGCACTCCTCTTTGATGCGGAGCAGCCTGGAGAGAAGTTGAGCAAAACATTTATTTTATTTATTTCACTGCTTGGAGGGGTGCCTTGAGTTCATGTGTGTCATTTATCTGGGCAAGAGATGGCAGCAGGATGCACTATAGCAAGAAGGCAGGCCGGCGGAGAAAGCATTATGCTCTGGGCGATGTTCTGCTGGGAAACCTTGGGTTATGCATTCATGTGGTGTTACTTTGACAATAATAATGCACCCTGTCACACTGCAAACATTGTCCAGTAATGGTTTGAGGAACATGACAAAGAGTTCTATATGTCGGTCACCAATTACTTGCGGTTGTCTGTTCTTGATAATCATGTCAGATGGACTTGAGTTAGAACGTAGCCAGCAACTCATCTTTGGCCTTGTTTTATGAAAACAAGTTTGGAGTCTGAGATGACTGTGTCGTGTTATTTCTGTTTAATAAGCTATGCATTCTCTCATCAACCCAGACACAATTGCCAGTCCCTGCTGAAAGGCAGCCTCTACATAACACCATGCTGTCACCACCATACCTAATAGGCAGCTTACCGGGTGATGTGCATTATCAAGCTTGCACCATATATAATGCTTGGAATTTAGACACTTTTATCTCATCTGACCACAAAGCTGTTCCACATGTCTGAACCATGTTTTGTCTTTTTTTTTTTTTTCTTCTACAAACTCAACACGTGATAAGGATGAGGATTTTATTTTTTTAGTAACACTTTCTCCCCTGGCGCCTGTCCATCACAGAATATTTTGTTAACGCACGTTGACAACATTCTTTGTGTACATTCATACAGCCATACCTGCCAACTGTCCTGAATGCAGCAGGACAGTCCTGATTTTGAGCTCTTGCTCTGCTGTGCCCATAAAGTTGAGAGTGCGTTTTTAAATAAGCTCCCACATACAGTCTATGCCAGGCCGTTGCTGCCCATAGAGAAGGAATTCAGCAATGCTTTGCGCATGCGCAGCCTGGGTTACCTGCCTGGGATCTTGGCACATAAGGCTGTTAGTATGCGAGCACCAGTGATGTAATTTGCATTATTGTAAGATATCGGACGCCAACCACATCCTATCCCGGCTTCATACTTCACAACAATGGAAGTTGTTGGTACACATGCATTCCCACTGATCTTTGGGTACACATAACAAACACAGCACACTGTGTACATCTACACACATGTTATGCAGGTGCGAGTATAAACATGCCTATGCACACAATTATTCCTGGGTATTAAAATGATTTAAAGTGAAAAATAACATCTTAAAGGTGCACGTTCCACAAGGCATTATCAGGTATGTTTCCATCGCTGCAAGTTAAACACATATGGAATCCTGGAAAATGAATTCAAGAAACATATGGATTTGGAGCTAATGTCGTATTAGTCCAGCTGATACGTGCAATACTCTTGTTCTAATGAAAAATGATACGATGTGTTACGTTGAGAATGTTACCATGTTATCTTGTTGTTACAATGACACTCAAATGATGCTCCTTTTATTTATTTTAGTTATTCACTTCTATGGTAGACCCGTAAATGTTAGAACTATTAAAATGTTTTGATTAAAGACAATTCTCAGTTATTATTGACTGCTTTGGTGTCATTCTAGTAGAGCAAGAAAGAATGTTCGCAGGTGACCAAGAGCAGTCGCCGGGTCTTCGCTGTGATCTTTACTACATGAGGATAGATAAGGAGTTTCTTCAAGATTTCTCCAAGCCTCATACGGCCCTCCACCACTTCCTTCATCGCCACCAGTGCTTCCATCATCTCCATCGCTGCTAGGACTGCACCAAAGGAATCCTGGGCAGTTGCCCCCAACCCCACCTGCTCCATTTGAACTGATGGACAGCAGATTCCCCTATTCCAGATTTCCAGATTCCTCAAGGCCCACCAGTTTTACATAGGCAACATCACTAAACACCTCCCACGGAATGTGTACAATGTGAATATGGACTGACCAGTTATAGATACAATCATTCAAACAAGACACTCCCATGGTGTCCCCATCAACTCTAACCTCAAGGACTATTAAGCCAATCACCTGATAGGCATCATGGACAAAGAAGATATCGAAGCACCCCTACCCCCCCCACCCCCCGGCACTAAGTGTCCTCCTGCCTTCTCTCAACAAATAGAATTTGATTTGTTCCAACAGCAGTTGTTTGTCTGATTAATATGTAATGGGTCAACTATGCAACTCTTATTTGTTAAATAAAACACAAATTACTCTCGGCACAAATTTGTAAGGATTGTGTGATTTGGAGTTTCTATCAACAAACTACAGATAGGGTAACTTTTACATAGATATTATATGTCTGGCCGGCCACTGACGTACAGAACCATTCAAGGAGGGCTAAGGAAGCACTCAGTGCCGTTCTTCGTGTCCGTTCACAATGCGGGCGCCTCTACTGATGCACTTCCACCATTTTTCCTGAAGACACTTCCCCAGATGAGGGACAAAAGCTGAACGGTAGGAAAGGACCCCAAAATCTGGACGTTAGGAGGCTATGTTTGCAGCTTGTTTGAAATCCACTAAATTTCTGACAATTCTCATTTGTTTCTCAGTTATTTAGTGGATAACCATGAATAAAGTGTTCATGGTTGTCCACTAAGTATTAGTAACTGAGAAATAAATGAGAATTTAAATTAACTTTAATAGTTTAACTTTATAGTATAACTTTGCATATTTTTGCACCTCACAGTGAGTCAAATAAGGCCCTCTGTCTCGAAGGCAGGTGTCAGTCGGCTTCCCTGATTCACTAAACCTCACAACCCACAGCATTGTGCAAGACAGTTCAATTCATACTTGGAGAATTCACTTCTCCTGAGACGGAGTCAGGCTGGGTTTGTTTCTGGTAAGTTATGAATTTCCCCCAAAGAACCATGAAACATTTTGCGAGATAATACTGAATTAAAGCACATGGTGCTGTCACACACACTCATCCCGTCTGCTGACATTTAATCTTCCATGACAGTATCAGTCAGAAATGACAGTCTACATTACACGGATAGCATGTGACGCTTCTATCTGACTGACACAGCGTTCCGGGCTTGCTCACTCTACATCCCGCCCCTCCTCGATGATATTATGGAGCTCAGAAAGTGACTTTCTTCCACCGAATGCTTCCTAACCTCAAAATCCTCTGTTCAGGTAGATAGCTTAGAGCTATGGGCAAATATTAATAGGGCTCTCAACCTCTAGGTGTTCTCAGACTACAACTCCCAGAATTCTCTGTCAGCTGCAGCGTGGCAGAGCATTATAGGAGTTGTAGTTCAAAGAAGGTTTTAAGGGTATGCCCCTCCTAAGACCAGCTCTATACCATGTCCTAGATGTATTTCTGAACCCTAGCAATAGTAGGCTACCTTCGGCACTCCAGATGTTGTGGACTATGTTTCCCATAATACTATAACAGCCTCTGGAGGCAGACTTAGTTCTGCTATGTAAACATTGCAGTTTCTCTGGAACAGCAATGGTTTACATTGATTGCAGAACTAAGCGCAATAGGGAAACCACCGTACCCAGACCACTTCAATGAGCTGTGTGCCTATATGTTCACTTTAATGCAATGATTAACAAAAATCTCACCAGAAAAAAAGCAGAATTTTATAGGGAATATAAAACTAAGAAAAAGTTACTTGCACATTATCCCAAATCCACATTTGCACATTTAAATAACTACAGAATTTGTTGTATCAATCCAATGTTTTGTGGGCCCAGGACATACTGGAAAATGAGAGAAATCTCAATGTATCCTTCCTAGTAAAATATTTTATAAATAAATAATAAAATTAATAACGGCAGTTAAAGTGTAAGCCCACCTACCACGTCAAGACAAAACCTCTTAGGTGAGTCCCACACTAACAATTTGTCTTGCTGCTTTCAGTCCAAAGGTAAAATCTCAAATAAGACAGAGAGGGGTATTTTCTAAACCCCAACACACGTTTTAACCATTAATAGGACACAAATGGGGTGGGCGGCAGCACTGTAACATGACTGTCTAATACAAAAGCAAATACAGACATACAAAATTAAGCCCGGGGTAGCTCATCACCGAGCACCCTTACTGTCCAAATGGATTCCTGCTCATAGAATCTGCAAGCGAGCTTCACAGTGTTAATGTTTTACCGGGTCGTGGCTATTCTCCAATCCGGCGAGGAGTTTCAGAAGTGCAGTGGTTTAGTCCCAGTCTCACAAAAGGGTTTCATGGGGCTCTGGGAGGTGAGTGCTCTCAAGTCCCAGGTATCCTTTGATGCCTTATTGCTTCCCCAAACTCCCCTCCTCATAGTGCCCTGTTTGGCATCTGGGGATCGGGCGATACCCAACCAAGGATTCACCGGATCTCTGCACGGCCACGACCTGGTGAACAGTTCCAGAACAATTCATGGAATCTTCCAGTCAGGAGCTCGGTGTGAAGGATCGGTCCAGAAGATCACCCAGTGGTCCCCAATGCAGGCTGTGAAGAAGAAGAATCGATCACCGCCACCATACCCCTCGCTACAGTGACAATAGGCCCTCTTAGGGGATTTTGGGTCCGGGCCCATAGTCTATGGGCAGGGGATTGGCCTTCAAGCATCTACAAGAGCCGGAGGCACGGGAGCTGCCATCACAGTGATACTGGTTTTCTTAACATTTCCTTATGAATTATTTGGTAGACGTTTATTTACTAAGCTACAGATTTGCACTCAACTGACAATGAAAGGTAAACTTTTAGAACAAAATGAAAATGAGAATAATATGCAAAAAAACATATAATACATAAACCTTATGGGTGAATTCACTAAATACTGAATTAGTTTCTGAACTCCAGAACTCAGGTTACAATATCCAATCTGTAACTATAGCTGAGTTTGAGATTTTTTTCAAAATCAGATATTTTTTGCTTAAATTTTCCAATTATTTTTTTAATTAACAAGAATTCCGTATTTGGAGAATAAACCCCTGTAGTATTATTTTTACTTTAGATAAAGCCTCTTGCTAACTACGTTTCCCATTTCTTATCAGGAGACTTATTTTTCTGACGCATCACTTTCGCGTCTAATAACATTTCCTGAGGACAAAAAAAAAAAAATCACACTATTTTTACATTTTTCGTCTGCTTGTTCACTTATTTGTTTGTTTTTTTGTTTTGTTGATTTTTTTTTTTCTTTTAATTCAAGGTCATTCTGCTTTAGAGATTATTTCTCATGGTAAAGTCATTCCAAGCCTGTGTAACCCAATAGAGAAGTAGTATATAGGCAGGGAAATTGATGATTGGTGTTAAAATGTGGTTGAAACTGATATTGCGAATGTGGAAATGGAACGTTTACATGAGCAATTCCAGTAATTCTGGCCATTCCAACGAGCAGTGTCTGGGCTGTGTGTGACCAAGTCAAGCCACTCGAAAACAGTTTGAGTAACTACCAAGGAGACCTCGTCTGCAGCCTACTAGCACCATAACCACTTTAGCCGCTCGGAATGTGGGTTCCTGAGAAATCAAGGTTGAAACATTGTGTTACTTTGGGCTTCAATAAATTTGCCATTTCTGGATCTTGGAGTGCCTGAACTATTTATTTTATTTTATGCTATTGCCATTGGAGCCTGGTGCTTGGTCCTTCTTTGGTTGCACCCTGGCTCAGATTAATGGGATTGTTGGAAAGGATTTGATTTCTCAGGAACCCACATTCCGAGCGGCTAAAGTGGTTATGGTGCTAGTAGGCT